ATCAAATACGTGTTTTAAATTGATTTCATCCATTTTAAATAGCATAATTATATTGCAGTTGTCTCGGACTAATTGTTTCGGAGTTCTTGAATATGTCTGACATAGGTAGATCACATCAATATTTTTATGTCTACCCATAGAATAATATTCCTTAATTTTATTTTGTTTGTCGCATGCGACATCATCAAATATAAAAATTGAATTAGTTTTGGCTTCATGAGGACTAATAATATCATCATTATCTTTATATGGAAAATATCCAACTCCTTTTACGTTACTTAAAACCTCTTGAAGTAACTGATATTTAGGTTGATAGAGAGATTTTGAATATACATAAACATTTTTAAACTTAGCGCCATTTAAGTCGAAGAGAAGTGCTAGCATTACATTAGTCTTACCACATCCGCTAGGACCACATATAATAGCACGAAAGGAATCCGGTAGGAGTTTCCCATGTTTTCCATGAACGTTTTTTGCGGGTTCAAAATCAAAGTTATCGATTGGTAATGTCTGTTCTTGTTGGACAACATTCATCTTGTAATACTTTTTTTAAAATGATGATCATTATAAATAAAATTAGCTATATGATAAACTATCATTGTGATGTTGATATTTCAGGGAGAAGGAGTTTTAAATACTCTCATAAACAACATACCTTTTGAATTACATCTACCTGGTTACGAATTTTGTGGGCCAGGTACAAAACTACAAAAGCGTATTGCACGCGGAGATTCTGGTATTAATCCATTAGACGCCGCATGCAAAGAACACGATATTGCGTATGATCAGTATAAATCCTTAGAGGAGCGTCATAAAGCAGATAGAGTATTAGAGGACATTGCGTGGACACGCTATAAATCAAAAGACGCAAAATTTGGTGAAAAGTCAGCAGCTTTAATTGTCACAAACGGTATGAAGGTGAAAAGAAAGCTTGGTATGGGTTGTTCCTTTAAACGGGATATTATCAAAAACGTTGCAAAATCGTTAAAAAAAATCCATCATCAGATTTAAAAAAATCCGCAACACATGCATTGAAAGCTGCGAGACTTGCAATTAAAAAAATAGGTGGCAAAAGGCATGTTAAGATTCCTCGAATAATTCCATTTGAAGCAAAATCAGGTGGTTTTTTACCCCTTTTACCAATCCTAGGAGCCCTGGGGAGTCTCGTAGGAGGCGCCAGCGCTATTGCTAGGACTGTAATAGGTGCAAAGAATGCTCAAAAGAAATTACAGGAAGATTATTGTCACAACAAAGCAATGGAATCGATAGGTAAAGGGTTGTATCTGAAGAAATTTTCCAAAGGTGGATTCGGTTTATATTTAAAAAAACAAAAAAATTTCCATTAAAGCTACCCAATAGACCTTTATATGATAGGGAGTTAATAACGTACGCTAAACGCTTAAAAATACCTCATTTCAGAGGTGTTTTTATGCGAGATAATTTACCAAAGACGGGTCCTCATCAGCACGAATCCGCAATCTTGAATCTAGATACATCTAAAAATAAAGGTACACATTGGGTAGCGTATAGAAAAATGAATAATAATGTTGAATATTTCGATTCATTTGGTAATCTAAAACCACCGAAAGAATTAGTAAAATATATGAATAAATTTAAAATATATTATAACAATGATCAATATCAAAATTATAATCAAATAAACTGTGGACATCTGTGTTTAAAATTTTTGTATAATTAATGTTTTTAATAAATATGTTAAAATTGAAAATTTTGTTTTATTTAAGACCTTACACCTTCAAAAATATATCAGTCATGTCGCAGCTTTTAACCCTTTCAAGTGAGACTAATGATTTCTGCTTCACTCCTACAACTCCAATTGTATTAAATCCAGAAAAAAATTATTTTTTAGCTGTATTAGGCTTTCATTCCTATAATTCAATTCCAAACGTCGTAGGAGAAAAGTTTTATTACTACGAAAAAAATAATACGAGTATTTTGAGAGAAATTACTTTTCCTACCGGGTGTTATGAACTATCGGATATTGAAATATACATAAAGAAACAGCTTAATAGCACCGACGATACAGATTTCACTTTAAAACCTAACAACAATACACTCAAGTGTGAAATTTATAGTCGAAATCATACAATTAATTTTGAAAAGGATAATAACATTGGTAATATATTGGGATTTTCTAAGAAACTACTTGATCCTAATAAGATACATTTTTCCGATCTTCCCGTAAATATTATAAAAGTAACAAGCTTACACTTTGATTGTAACATTACTAGAGGAGCTTTCTTTGGAAATAATCCTGCTCACACTATCCTCGAGTTCCCGATATTTGTTGATCCTGGTTACGCAATCATTGAGAGACCGAATACACCTATTTTTTTACCTGTAAGTAGTATAAGAGAAATAACTAATATCACAGTGGAAGTACTCGACCAAGATCGTAGACCGGTAAATTTTCGAGGTGAAAAAAGTACTATTCATTTAGAATTAAAAGAATACTAAATGGGTTTAGTGATAGAATATAAAAGCCCATCTTCGCACGCAGTTTCATCAGTAACACATCGCACTGCCAAACGAAGCGAGCTAACACCTGCAAATAGATTATTTCTTAAATCTCTAGGATTCAAATTGAAAAATGACAAAACGCAAATATATTCGCTCCTTGGACGACATAGATGAGCGCGTGCATAAAAAATCAAGGATCGATCCTATGTTTCAAATGTTTGACACTAAACCACAATTTGATGAATCTTTTAGAAAAGTAGAGTCTCGAATTTATACGCCATTTATCAAATCATTCAATAACAATGATGCGGTGGAAATTATTATAAAACAAGTTGATTCATTTTTCCTTATGAGTGACGCGTTATTATGCATTAAAGGAAAATTAGATGTTAATGGTGGGGGAGATGTTTCCCTAGCACCCAATTTTGGAGCATTTCTCTTTGATTCTTGCTCATACAGTGAAAGTTCTAAAGAAATAGAAGTAGTTCGTGATACCGGTATAGTAAGTACTATACGATCCTTGTTGTGCTATAAACCTGAGGATTCAAAACATATGAGCATCGGAGGATGGAATTATCCGAATAATCCACATCTGAATAAACAAAATAAATTTAGTTTGGTGATGCGTATGGATCATCTATTTAATGTTTTAAACGATTATACTTTAGTCACATGTGGAAATCAAACATTTCGACTAATTCGTGCCCGTAACGATAATGATTCTATAATCATAACAGAAAAGTCTATATCCGGTGGGGGTATAACAGATACTACGGCAAAAATAATAATTGAGAGTTTAGAATTACGTGTAAAACATATATTTCCAAACGATGAAATTAAAATAGAATTGATGGAGTCTATAAAAAAGGATCGATCTATATTGATACCATTTCGGAAGTGGGAGTTAAATGAACTACCAGTGATTACTGCTGGTGCTAAAAGAGAAATTTGGTCTGTCAAGAGTAGTGCATCTGTAGAACGACCCCGTTTTGTAATTGTATGTTTTCAAACGGATAAGCGAAGTAACGTAAAGGCTAATGCTATATGCTTTGATGATGCTAATGTTTCAAGTATAAGGTTATCGTTAAATGGAGAATACTGGCCCAACGAAAGAATACAGTATGACTTCAAAAACGATGATTATATGATGGCATTCCACGATTACACGGAATTCTATTCAAGCTATTCAAATTCAAAAATAAAACATCCTCTTTTAGATTATACAGAATTTAAAAAGCATGCTCTCTTTGTAATCGATTGTTCTAAACAAGAAGAAAAAATGAAATCATCCACAGTTGATGTAAGACTAGAAATTGAAAGTGATACTGGATTCCCCGCAAATACTAAGGTTTACTGCATCATAGTGCATGATTCTATGGTTGAATACTTCCCGTTGACAGAAGTTGTAAAAATTATAATTTAATCTAAATCACTGTACCCAAGAAAATGTTGAACATCTACGCTACTGATTTATAAATATTTTACCTAAAAAATGCAATGTATTTACGTTATGTTTTTATTTAATAAATGAAATTTAAAATAGATGATGTTTTATTAAAACACAAATACATATTTTCAATCATTTATTACTATTTAATTTTCTTTTTATATATTGTATTAACATTTTTAATAATATAATAAGTATTGATGATAAAGTAAAAGATGTAAGAACAAATAATTTATAAAATTCATTTTGCGTAGTATCGTTTCTTAGTATTTCTTCTCCAACATGTCTTAAATCAATTTCCAGTAAAGGTTGATCTAATATAACAGTTTTTCACGCCTGAATATCTCCGACACTCGTGTCTGCAAATATAGGTTTCAATTTGTAATTGAGCGTCTCTTTTGCAGCCATAGGTATTTCTATCGAAAATGTTTTCAAATTATCATCATTCAACATTGACAAATTCATTAATTTCCATTCTGAAAGCGTACAATCTTGTCTTAGGTTCTCCAAATCAAAACAAACGGACATATGATCAACCCCATCCGGCACATTGGTATATAGTATACCGTTTAAAATTGTTGTGAGTATTATTAAATTTATATTTAACATGGTTTCGGCTCAATTCGTCTTAAAGGGTAAATTGACTGAGGAGCAGGGGTTCGATATTTATCAAATACTTTATCCCACAATTTCAAATTTGCCAATTCTTCTATAGTTTTACTTTTATCCTCATAAAACTTTATGTCCTTACTAATATTACGGACTTTTTCACCAAATTCCTCAAGTTTACGTCTATAGTCTTCCGAAGACATTACACTAATAATGATTTTAATAGACAAATACCTATTAAATAAAACAATATCACGTGACAATAAAAAAAAAATGGAAAAATATTCAAAATTATGGAAACCAAAGTTATTTAATTAAAATAACATCATATCAATGCGTGATAGTAAAAAGTCTAATTAAGTGTTGCAAAAGGAAATCGATAATCAGCAAAACTTTACAATCATATTTTAACATGTTTCTGATAATGCTAAAATATCCAAAATAATTTTTTGCAAAGGAAGTTGGCGACTAATCATATCACAATTTCCTACCATGTTATTAACAAAATATCTAAATTAGGTGTTGCAAATGTCACTCACAATTACCCAAATTTTTACAATCACATTTTATATCCGTTTTGATAAATTAAAAATATTAAAAAATATTTCCGAAATTGATTAACAATCTGCAAGCTAATTTTTATTTCTAATCTCTTATAACCGCCAATCTTAAAACGTGCGCAAATTTGATAATTTTGCGTATAAATACCCATGCAAATATATCATTATTTATAATTCTTCAAAAGCTTTATTGTTACTCTACACTATACACTATCAACCATGAAGATTGCGTTCGTCGATATACAAGGATTTACCGTTGAAGGTATTTTCCACCCTAAGGAGTTGTCGATAGAAATTGGGTTTAAACAGTACCATTTTCTATTTACGTCGGCAATTCCGTATAACAACCTGGATGAAATGGACCGGAAGACGGTGAGATACCTGGAAAGAAATGTCCATGGAATCCAGTATACGTCAGGGTTTGTCGACCACGGACAGGTAAACAAAATATTGGAATCAAACTTGCTATATTCTGCAAACTATGTTTACGTCCGTGGTAACCAGAAGGCGGAATTTTTGCAACGAAAGTGCCATGAACTAGGACACTATCCAGTCATCATTGACGTGTCTCAATATGATGATACCAACCAAGCGACACCCAAATTTGAAAGGACCCAGGATCATTGTGCCAACCACGACAATGGGCGATTCAATTGCACGCAGGAGAATGTAGGGATTTTACGGTGTTGGTTCCTGAATACGATCCTACCTAAATAACACCAAAAAAATCTAATTTTTAGGTAAAGTTACATTGTTATATTGCTACATTTGTTATATTTTATTGTAATATATTGTATATTATATTAATAAATTAAATTTAAAATAAATTGAGTTTTACTTCTTTACGTTTATATCAAAATATAGCTGTACCCAAGAAAATAAATTATTAATTAAAAAACAAAATCATCATGCACAATAAATTCGCATGTGGGATTAATCACAAGCAAAAAGTAACAAACATTTAATCATATCAAATTAAACAATCACATCTTATATCAGTCTTAATTACAAAAAATACCAAAATCAGTTTTTGCAAAGGAATTTGATTAACAATCTACACAACATAATTTTTTATTTCTAATTTACGCGATAACCACACAAACTAAAGAAAATATTCAATCATTTAACACCCAAAATACCCACGCAAACATACCATTATTTACATTCTAGCGATAAAACCACAAATTCCCAAAATCAATTTGACAAAGGAAGGCGATTAACACAATCTGCAACCTAATTAATATTATTTGCAATCTCACTTAATCTCGCACAAACCAACACCAAATATTCTATACACATTTTTAACACCCACGCAAAATGTACCATTATACACACACACGCAATCCAACAAAAATCAACCCCACTGACGTCACACAACACAACCCCATCTCCTCACACACCCCACACAACACTTCTTCATATTCACACCCCAACTACACACATCTACCATCAACCAAGCGCCATCGAGCTCACTTATTCACATCAGTACACTATCCTACACACATTTTGAATTAGAAACGGTCTTGCTACACTACTAAAACACGTCCTTACTTATTTGTAGCTCACCCTGTAAAGGAAAATAATTTTTGATCTCGTTTTATATACGTAGAATGCAAAAAGATGTTACAATAAGATTTGGCACAAAAAATTATAATCAATTAGCTCTCCTGAAATTACTGTTATCAAATAAGTGGTATTTCTTAAGTTTAACACATCTTATAAACCAATCATAGAAAAAAGCTATAATTTTATAAAATATCTTCTACAGGATGGATGATACGACAATGAAAAAATATGTATACTTTTAGAGGACTAATTAAAAAGTATAAGGTGCTTAACAAAAATTGCTTTTTTGACACATTCGATTAAATAACTATCAATATGTTTATTAAATCACGCTGTAGTCAATGAATAGGATAATTCTACATATAATAAATACACAAATGTCCCGTAAAAATATTGGGTTTCACATTAATACTTATAAAAATATATTGGTCTATATGTCGATATTTACGAATCATCCTGTAAAAACAGCACCTAATATCTTTTATAATATCATCAGACATGATAAATATAGCAATAATTTACTTTTTAGTAAATATTTTCACCTTCTATAACAATAAAAGGATTTATCAAAAACATGTCCTTACTTATTTGTGGCCCACCCTGTAATGAAAAATTATTTTTGATACCTTTTTATATTCATAGAATGCCAAAAGATGTTTCAATAAGATTTTGCACAAACAATTATAATCCATTAGCTTTCTCCTGAAATAACCGTTATCAAATAAGTGGTATTTCTTAATTTTAAAACCCTTTATCCCAAAAACCAGTCATATGATTTAAATGGTCCGATGGACACTATTGCTTAAGAGGTCGAGAACTGCAAACACATCAAAAATTTATGATATTTAACGCAGTCGCCACTTTAGCTTAAGCGGTGTGCGGGGTCCTTTAATTTCTTGGATACCAAGCAATAATTAATGATCTGGCATCTCCGCCACGCTTCTTCGCAAAAACCTTGTTTACTTCAATACTGTTTTTTATGACAAACGTAGAGGATCGGGATCTTTCGTTAAAAATTTAGCTAACATTTGTTTTAGTAGATCAGATCAGTATTTATCGCGATGTAATGAACTAGTATTTGGATATTATAGTGTAATTAAAGTAGAATTATTATTTAATTTATTTTTCGTTAGTGCAGTATTAATATTGTTTGAAAAAGTGTTTTCAACTGAAGAACAACATTGTGCGCGTATTTTTGTTGCTGTTTACAAAATAGCTTTTTTTTTCGTGTTAAAAAAAATTGAATGGTGGACATTTTGAGCATTTATTCTTTAGTGCCTGGCACATAAAAAGGATATATTTGTAAGTTTTTCTTTTTTTTTAGTAATTTTTTGAATATGTAGGTACTTACTCGTATTTATTTATTCTCCAATTTACAGGAAAACGAAATAGATTTAGTTAATTCTTATGTTAAAAAAATTTGTATTTCATAAAAACTATACCAAGTACATTTGAACGTATTTTAAATCTTTATTAGTTCAGTACAGAAACCACAAAAAAATATTATATATTATAGGGTCCTACAAGAGTGGCGAGTTCTTTAGTAACAGATTTAAATGAAAATGGATGTAATGAGGCTATAGAGAGAGCTCTAGTATTATTAAATAAGTTGTTAAAATATAACTAAAATATGACATTTTAGTTTAAAAAAATAAGTCGGAGGTTTACAGGCTATTGTAGACAGAAAAATAATGTTAGATTGATATAGACAGTATTCTTTTTGAAGAACCAGAGTAGATAATTTTTTTTCGTTCCTGAAATACTCTCTTTTTGTTTGCATTTTTTTATGATAATCTTATCAAAACATTTGAATTCTATAACAAAAATCTGATGTGTCCAACACATGACTTTCCTATCTAGTTATTATAGGCATTTTCCGGTTATTTTGTACAACCTATTGCAGCATCTCTATAAATGTTTAGAGGATAAACTAAATATATACATTTTCCACATACATCTACCTCGAAACATTTTTCTATAGATATTCATTGAAAACGAAAATACAGAAAAATTTAAATTTAGCACTTTTCCATTACGGTCCATTTTAGAAAAATCATACATAAACAAAAATTATAGAAATCGATATCGCAAACAACTTTTAGTTCAACAATTTTCATAAAAATCAGAATTTTGCACATTTTGTCAAATTTCTCGAATACGGACCATTTTAGGAAATTTTGACATAGAACAAAAATTATAGATAATAATATTAGAAGTAACTTTTATTTGAACAATTTTCTTCTCCAAACATAAATAACAGATATATTCCATAAAATATAAAATCGGCCTCCCATAAAGTACCCCCCCAGATGTTCCGACTTTGTCCAAAATCTAATCATTTCACGTCAGGCCGAAATAAACCTTAAGTTTAAAATTTAATGTTTTTTCCTTTATCCGTTTTTGAGTTTTCTTCAAATTTCGAAATTTACACATTTTCTCAAATATCTCGAATACGGTCCATTTTAGAGAAATTATGTATAGGACAAAAATTATAGAAAATTATATTACAAACAACTTTTATTTGAACAATTTTTATAAAAAATTATTTTTTTTACATTTTGTCAAATTTCTCGAATACGGACCATTTTAGGAAAATTTTGCATAAAACAAAAATTATAGATAATTATATTAGAAGTAACTTTTATTTGAAGAATTTTCTTCTCCAAACGTAAATAACAGATAAATTCCATAAAATATAAAAATGACCACCTATAAAGTACCCCCCCAGATGTTCCGACTCTGCCCAAAATCTAATCAGCTCATTGGACGCTGAAACAAAGCTTAAGTTTAAAATTTGGTGTTTTTCTGTGTATCGGTTCATGAGTTATGCGTTATACAGACACACACACACACACACACACACACACACACACACACACACACACACACACACACACACACACACACATACACACATACACACATACACACACACACATACACACACATATACACACATATACACACATATACACACATATACACACACACACACGCACACACACGCACGCACACACGCACGCACACACGCACGCACACACGCACGCACGCACGCACCCACACACGCACGCACACACGCACGCACGCACACACACACACACACACACACGCACACGCACGCACACACACGCACGCACACACGCACACACGCACGCACGCACGCACGCACCCACACACGCACGCACACACGCACGCACACACGCACACACGCACGCACGCCCACACACACACACCCACACACACACACACCACACACACACACACACACACACACACACACACACACACACACACACACACACACACACACACACACACACACACACACACACACACACACACACACACACACACACACACACACACACACACACACACACACACACACACACACACACACACACACACACACACACACACACACACACACACACACACACACACACACACACACACACACACACACACACACACACACACACACACACACACACACACACACACACACACACACACACACACACACACACACACACACACACACACACACACACACACACACACACACACACACACACACACACACACACACACACACACACACACACACACACACACACACACACACACACACACACACACACACACACACACACACACACACACACACACACACACACACACACACACACACACACACACACACACACACACACACACACACACACACACACACACACACACACACACACACACACACACACACACACACACACACACACACACACACACACACACACACACACACACACACACACACACACACACACACACACACACACACACACACACACACACACACACACACACACACACACACACACACACACACACACACACACACACACACACACACACACACACACACACACACACACACACACACACACACACACACACACACACACACACACACACACACACACACACACACACACACACACACACACACACACACACACACACACACACACACACACACACACACACACACACACACACACACACACACACACACACACACACACACACACACACACACACACACACACACACACACACACACACACACACACACACACACACACACACACACACACACACACACACACACACACACACACACACACACACACAGAGAGAGAGAGAGAGAGAGACAGACATCATCGCGAAAATAGTCAAAACGGATTCAGGGGACCTCAAAACGTAAAAATCCGTCGAAAACTCGAGGTCGAAAAAAATCATGATTCCTATACTTTCCTTATATATGTATACAGATAGGAAAGTAAAAATGACGATGATATACTTACTTCAGCATATATTGACAGGCCCAAAATAACTTATAAAAAAAAGAGGACTTGTTAAGTTTGCTGAAACATGTACCAATAGATCACCATGATTTTTTAAAAACTTAAAAGCCTTAAAAAAGGGCCAAAAAGAGTATGAAGATAGCGAATAAATTTGTTTTTCTACGCCTATGGAATAATATGTCAATTATTAACGCTTTTTCTTTAAATAATAGTAGTCATTATTTTTATCTGTTGGCTTATGAATCATAAGCCAACGGTATTTGACCAATCACAGGCCACGAATTTTCATAAGCCAACAGTTTTATTAGTTGCCCATGACAACGGAAAAGGCACCACAGTATTATTCCTGTACAACACTGCTTCTCAGTTGTCATTTGTAATTTTGTCACGCTTGACCAGCGCTTGACACTTCTGTCTCCGAAAGCTGAAAAAGTGTAAAAGTTTGTCTCAAAAACCTATAAATTGTCTAATCAAAACACAAATGGATGAAATGGACGATATTAACTTTAACAGCGACGAAGAAAATTATACCCCACCGGATATCGTAGAAGCAGCGAAAATAACATCGGTAGACTTGCTACCTAAAAAATCGCGAAATCTTTACGAAAAAGCGTATAAAGCTTTTATGGATTGGCGAGACCGCAAAAAAACTACCTCGTTTTCCGAAAACGTGTTACTAGCCTACTTTGGAGAGCTAGCAGAAAAATACAAATCTTCGTCCCTCTGGACTCAATATTCGATGTTGCGAACGACACTAGAGGTACGACAAAACATAAATATAGCAACTTACGGAAAGTTAAAAACTTTTCTTAAACGCAAATCTGATGGCTATTGAAAATGCAGATGATAAAAAATATCTTGCAACAAAGGTAGGAATTAATAAATAAACATAATTATAACAATTTTAGAGACTGTCTATTTGTCCGAGCGCTCGGATATGAATAGTAGATTGCGCTAAATATCCGGGCATTGAGTCATCATTCGTTGTTCTTAATCCTGTATGACAAGTAGACGGGTATCGTGTGGCGTGGTCCAGTGGACTGGGCATCGAGCTGTAGATCGATAGGTCCTAGGTTCAATTCCGGGCCTTGGCAGTTTTTTTTTTATTTTATTTTTTCTTTTTATGTTCTTTTAAGTATTTATATTTTTTGTTCGAGAATATTGTTCCACAGGTTAGTTCAAGTTCCACCCAAAAAAGTTGGTTTCGTTTAAAAAAAAAAGATTAAAAATTCTACCAATGGTAAAATTTATGTTGGAGTATATTGATCCACCGGTTAGTTTTGAAATTTAAAGTGCTGTCTGATTTTACTAAAGAAAAATAATAAAATAAAAACGGTTGAAAGTAGATATTTCAACTATTTTTTACTTTAGAGAAATTGCTAGGAGACAGTGACACAAAAAACTTTGGTGCCTATTTTGTAAATAATTATTCAAATAATTGTAAACAATGGGCTTACTGTTATCGCATGCAGTGTGGTATAAACACAAATATGCGACTAGAAAGCATGCATCGCACTGTTAAATATTTTTATTTGCATAAAAAAACTGTAAAACGTCTGGATAAAGGCCTGCATGCCGTTGTAACGTATTTAAGAGACAAAGTAGTTGATCGAATGATTAAACATACAAAAGGAAAATACACTGAACAGAAAAGGAATATTCTAAATCGACATCGAGTTTCGTTGACAATTTCTTCAGTTTTAGAATCACTGGAAGAAAATAAATGGAAAGTTATTAGTAATGATGCAGAATACTTAATAGAAAAAAAGCTGCCAGCAAAATGTTGCGATTTGACGTGTGAATATTGCAATATTTGCCTCCATTCTTTTACCTGTAGTTGTCCTGATTTTTTTATTAGGTCGACAATTTGCAAACACATTCATTTTGTTGCACTAAAGGACTGCACATCTAATACCTCGACTGAAATAAACAATAATGATTCTGACATTACTAACTCAAATATTTCACAATGTTTGTCATCATTAAACAACACAAAAAGCAATTATTCCGATTTAAAGGAAAAACTCAATAACGAAGTCTCAATACTTCATACCAAATTAAACACAACCAACCTAACCGGTGCCAACCAAGAATATCTCTCGCAGGCATTGTCGAATTTAAGAAATGCTAGTGGCTTATTAGAGTTGGCATCAAAAGATGATGAAATCCAGTTTTTTGCTGCCAAGGATAAAAATGCAGACTGCAGGCAAAATATTAAAAAACAAATTAAGTTTTTTTCAACCAAAAAGAAAAGAAACAAGATAAAGGATAGGATAAAGAAACCAAATCGTGAAGATATGAAAAATATTAAAAATGTTCTTGATGGATCTCCACTGTTTATTTCAACTGATTCTATTAAACATGATCATTTTTACTGTAATGATCAAGATTTTCAATGATGTTTAATAAAGCTGTGTTTTTTTAAAGGCATTTTTATTTTAATCAAGAGGAAACTATTTATCTTTATAAATTCCTATCGTTTTCAATTCATTTTACCTAATTCATCCATACTATTATTAACAGAGTTTGCACAAACTTAAAAGGCCATGCAAACGATGTTTATTAGTGTATGGAATCATTTCTTGATTGGTGTATGAGCCACTTTACTTTGCCACTTACTAGCCCGTAGACGTAAAAAGACGTGACGTCGCGAGCGCATGCGCACTGTGTGGAACCGGGTGCTACTGTTAAGGTCTCGTCGGATATATAGCTCAATCTATTATTTGTCCGAGCGCCCGGACGAATAGACAGTCCCATAATTTTAAACATTGAAGTTGTTAATCCATTTTACTAATTTTGCCATTGATTTTTGTTTCAGGTAGCATTAATTATTGGTGTAATGGGTGCCTGTCGTTGTCACGAATTAAGAAATATGAATATTGAGCATATTGAAGTTTTTAATACATCCATGCTAATTACTGTGCCCAACACAAAAACAAAAGTCGTTAGAAAGTTCACCGTAACAGGAAAATTTTGTGAAATGGTTAAAACATATATTGATTTGCGTCCCCCCACAGTTGCCTCGCCGTCTCTTTTTGAATTATCAAAATGGGAAATGCTCTGTCCAAAATATAGGAATTAACAAATTCTCGGCAATGGGAAAACAAATTGCCAATTATTTAAATCTGCCCAACCCCGAAATGTATACAGGACACAGTTTCAGGAGATCGTCTGCCACAATACTAGTAGATGCAGGAGCCAACATGACTGCATTAAAAAGACATGGGGGTGGAAGTCCACAACGGTGGCGGAGGGATACATCAACGACTCCTTAAATAATAAAATGACAACTGCCCAAAAAATACTTCACTCAATACAAAGCAAATCCACTATTACCATCACCGAGACTATAACCAAGGTTAATGAAAATCAAAAAATGGATGTGGCCACCGCATCACTTACTATTCAGAACTGCCAGAATTTCACAATAAATATTCACCAACATAATCCGTTAATTGATAAATAATCATTTTATTATCCATGTTATTAAAAGTTAATATGAATTAATGTAAAATGGTTTATTTGAGTAAATTTAATTTAATCTGCATTTTAATTATTTCATAGGCGTAGAAAAAGTATAGTATTATACTCGCGCTTATGTAATAATATACTATTAAATGTTTCCATTATTTTTATTTAATGTATCACCCGATTTGTTTGTGTTGTTTATTATGCAATTATTTGTAGTTTTTTTAGTAATATTTTTTTAATAGAAAAAATAGTACCTGGTTAACTTTTAGAGCGGAGATTTGTTTTTTTTTTTTTAATATTTTGTTGTAATAAGCACTTTTTTATTCAAGAATAACATTGTGGAAATAAATATTATTTTTACTATAACTGTTTTTCTTTAACGCAATATTCGAAAGACAACTTACAAATTAAAAAAAAAAGACAATAAACATAATTTACAGTGAAAACCGTGCAATACTAGGTTAACTAAAAATTTAAAAAATAGAGATAAGTTTGCTAATTATCTAAAAAATATAGGACAATACAAAGATACTTTTAACGAAAAGAGGTATAATTTTAAATAAATAAACAAATAAGTCAATTCAATACTAAGATAACTTAAAACAAAAACTCAGACAACTTCTGAAAATGTGTTTAAATTATTTTTTTACTAGAACAATACGACATCTTACAAAATATTTATTTAAAAAAAAAGTTGACACCTAATAACAATAATAACATTCATTGTAAATTTTTATGTACAAATCACAACGAACTACGTTAAGATCTTATTATTAATTTGAGTAATAAAAAAGTTAAGTACAATTACGGCATTAAAAGTCGATTTTCTCGAAATGACTTTTTTTAAGTTGTCCTAGTATTGTTCTAGCACAGCGATGTATAAACTAAATAATTTAAATAATTCTAAAATTATCAAAATAATCACCATAACAGTTTTCGACTTTTTAGTAATATGACTACGTTCATGAATGCTCGTGACTATACGTGATTTTTTCGGATTATTAGCTTAGTTAGGGACATTTTAATTAGTTGGTAGTACTATGACGAATGACCGACGTCATTGCTGACGTGCATCGGGATTTGTATTAAAAATACTATAAACTAATAAAATGCTTCCAATAATGCGGTTAAGACTGAGACGAGTTGAAAATCGACGCAGATGTCTTTATTTGAACAGAAAACGGTTGGAATTAAGGTCTAGAAGTAATCCCTTTAACTTTTCTAATGATAGATTCCTTGAATTGTTTAGACTTACAAAAGAGTAAGACAATTTTATAGTTACGTGAAGATTTTATATAAGTATAATAGTCAATTGTTTTTAGCGTGGTTCGAGATTTGATTGATAGTCTGATGCCTCTTATGCAGGAGAGAATTTCTACAAAGGGAATTTCTCTAGAAACCAAATTTTTCACTGCATTGCGATTTTATGCTGTTGGGTCCTATCAACGATGTATTGGCCAAGATTTTAATTTTGCGCTTAGCCAAACATCTGTACATAGGTGCATTAACTCTGTCACTCATGCTTTAACACTTTTAGCCCATCAACACATACAACTTCCCACAACTCCCCAGGAAAGAAATGATATTAAATTTGAATTTATGGATAGATCGAGGTTTCCTGGGGCAATAGGAGCAGTAGATGGAACACATATTGCCATTTTAAAGCCTTCAGTAGATGAACATAACTTTTTTAACCGCAAAAATTTTCACTCTCTTAATGTGCAAATTGTGATCCCAGTTTGAAAATACGTAGTATTAATACAAATTATGGTGGATCAACTCATGATTCATTTATATGGAATCACTCAATAGTTAAAGAGTTTATGGTTAATTTAAATGAACATGAAACTTGTTGGTTATTAGGTGATTCCGGTTACCCTCAAGAACCTTTTTTAATGACACCAATACGTAATCCGCAGAACAACAGTGAAAATAATTATAACTATGCTCACATAAGAGCTAGAAATTGTGTAGAACGGTGTATTGGGATTTTAAAATGCAGATTTAGATGTCTTTTAAGAGAACGGTCTGCAAGATACAAGCCACAATTTATGGTAGATATTGTGAAGGCATGTGCTTTTTTGCACAATCTATGTATAGACGGTAATATGTCCTTAAACGAAGATATTCCAGCAGAGGATGACAACAATAATGATGGTGATGTTGGTCATCATGTAAATGCCCCTAATGTAAATGGAATTGCTGCAAGGGATAGACTTTTAAACCAATATATTACATAGTTTCACAATTAATAAAATACATTCTTTTCGAATATTTCTTTTCTTTTATTATAAAATAAAATTTTAACAAAGATAAGCAATTTTTAAATTATTTTGTTTGTATTTTGTTCCATGGCTGTTGCTATTCGCTCTAGCTCATTTGATATACATGACAAACCCTCTTGCATGGTTACCTTAATGTTCTTAAGAAAAATAAGTATCTCTTCAAATATTTCCATCTCTTTCTGCTCATTTGAAAGTTTTCTTTTCTTTTTTGGAGTAGGGATCCCATAGTCATGTTCGTTAGAAACAAAGGTATCTTTCTTACTGCAACTTGCAGATGTATTTGCAATTATTGAGGGTGATAAATAATTGACCTCTTTTCGAAATAAAATTGATTGTGCAGGTTGTAAATTAATTTTTGTATTAGGCTGCAAAAATTAATATTTTTATATACATATTATTGCAAAATTTTCAAACTTACTGTAGCAATTTCCTCACTACCAACCCCTTTGTAAAAAGATGGGCCAAGTAGAGATATTATTCGTAGCTCCAAATCGTTCAAAGGTACAGTGTTAGATGGTCCTCCCCCAGTAGCCATTTGGTCTTTGTTAATGGCAGCTGCCTTCTTCTTTAAAAGATATTTGAAGTCTGTCCAACCCTAAAATAAAATATTTCATAATTACAGAGTAGCTACATAGGAATATCTCAAAGTAAAAATATCAATTTTATGAAATTATTGTTATCGTTTTATTATCTTTTGTATAAAAATATTTAAGATGTTTGATATAGTATAGTTGAATCGTAAATTAAATACAATTTCCAATACTAATTCTGTTTTATTGTTTGAAGCTAATTCAGAAAATTATAGGTAATAAGAAAACAAAACAACCTACCTTATTCCATTTTCTGGGGTCCTTTCTCCTAAACCCAGGCTATTTAATTGATGGCCTAATTCAAGCCACAGTTTTCTTTGTCTTTCTCTGCCATTAGCCCCAACGAATTGTCCTGTGGCCATTTCTCTGTTTTTTTTTTCCATAAAATTTATTATTAAGCTCCAATGTTGATCCTTCAATTTAAACGTCATTTTAGAAAATAACATGAATTACCATTTATATTTATACTTATTTAATCTACGTTAATTGCATGAAGATAAGGATAAACTGAATAAACATAACCTCAACAACAGCTATTCGATAACATGTGAGCTGTCGAATTTTATTATCGAGTATGAAATCGAATTTCGAAAAACGGAATTAACCAAATCGATTAAATATGGCGGATTCGATATAAATCGAGTAACGGAATCTGCCCTCTGGATATCCCAAAATATATTAGCTTTGTTCGGCTTACTTTTGAGGACGGTTTAAAATCGTTATAATCATGCGCATTTAAATTTACGTGTTCGGGTTTCTCCAAATCTAGTCCTAGGACACTCTAGGATTGACTGTTTCGTGTGTAATTTAGTGCGCAACTAATTTCACGCAGTTCTGAAACGTTATAAAATTGGTAAGCCGAACAACGCTATTATTCTTCTAAAACATTTATTGGTCTCTGTGTACCTATTTATAAACAGAACTTGGCTGAGTCGATCTTGGGTAAGTCGTCCTTGAACAAAAATCGAAGTTCGGTTACAATGTTTCTAAAGTTCCAGGTGGTTCCGGTGTTATACTAGAATTTAGAAGTGGGTAGTAACAAATCGGCAATAATTTTAAATAACAGAATTTTAGGGGCTTCGTTTTCTTCTGTCACCAACAGGTTTAATTTTTGAATTTTCGCGGAAAATGTTACTATTTTCGTACAGATACTCCATTTTTCACGAGCAAGTGAGGAGCCATTTTAGGTGGTCTTAATAATTTTGGGCGAACTTGAAGCAAAGATATTTAAAAAAATTAATATTATTTTCATCATACTCGGTTATACATTTTTAGAAAACGAAAACATTCTACAGAACTACGGCACAGCATGCTGACTACTGGTGGTGGTCCACCAAAAAAGCCAGCATTTGATCCAGTCCTTCAAGTTGTGGAAGAGGCTGCCCCAAATTTAGATGTTGTGTCCTTTTGATAGTACTGCCGTGTTTGAACGAGGTATGGTTGGATACTTTCAATATTATTAAATATATCTGTATATACTCAAATACATAGGTATTTCTTTTCTAGAACAAGGGCTAGCCAGAACTTGCACCAGTGCTGTGTATAATGATGATGATACTTATTTACACAATAATGGTAGGTTATATTTACAAATCATAAATGCAGATATAACTTTTTTTTATTAGATGAAAGTATAGAATGGCCTGTGTTGGACTCGGACGAGTTAGATGGAAGACAGAAGCAGCCGTTCTCAGTAGTAAGTTTACCATAATCTTGTTACTTATCCGATTATTAAAATTTAAACATATCAGTTTCAGCTAGCCCTCCTACTGTAGGTAGATTGCCACATGATGATAAAAAATCTGCAGAATCAGTGCTAATTGAAAAGCTTTGGACTCGGAAGCTTACCCAATCTATTCGTCAAGATAAAGAACTTTTTCTTCTGAAAAAAAGGGTGGCTGAAGAAGAGCTGGGTAAAATATCCGAAGAACGGGAATTGGTAAAAGTAAAGGTGGAGTTAGAAATTAAAACGGCAAAACATTGGCAGAATTGAAGCTTGAAGTTTACAAAACAATGGCAATTTTTCACTTCTCAAAATTTCAGAAATTTATTATTTACATATTTAAAACCTTAAAAAATTTCAGATCCACTAGCCGATATACAGTGTGGAAACCACTTATAGAATAACATTCTTTATGTCATTATATTAGAAAATTGTAAAAAATGCCGAGACACGTCAACTTTTGAATTGAGTTGTGCATTGTGTAAACATAAATTTAAATGTACAGGGTGATTCACGCAAGTATGCCATAGTCGGTGTTGTTTTTTTTTTTAATGAAACACCCTGTATATTTGCATATTTTTGAAATCCTCTTAATGAACCGATTCCAACAAACTGAATAATGTATGGTCAATTATGAATTATACAGGGTGAAATTTTAAAATTAATAATTTATTACACTTGAAATATTGGTACTTTTTTAAATTAGCTAAATATGGATTTATCAAAAATCTAAACTAACTAATTATTAGACGTATTTGTACAATTAAACAAAACCTGCTACGCCCATGAATTTTATCATAAATACCTAAAAATTGCCTAAAAACGCCAATAATTAGACAAAATCGATAAATAATGTGGATTGTTTTCTATTCTGTCAGTTGTTGATGTGTTGAGAGTTTATACTGAAAAAGTAAAATCTTTGTCAAACACTCTTTCCTTGTCGACATAACAATGAAATATTTAACTGAGACTCACCGAATTGAGATTTTAATGATGATCGGGTACGGGGATAACTGCAGAAGTCAAGTTGAAGTGGCAAACTTATTTAATCACAGGTATCCCGAATTGCCTAATATTTCACAAAGTACTGTGTCTAAAATTCATGCACAATTCAGAGAACTTGGACATGTCAAACCATTGAAAAGAAAACCACACTTCGTTGAAGATGATGTGAAAGTGGATATTTTGTTAAGTGTCGAAGAGAATCCAACTTCAAGTACACGTCAAATTGCCCGTGAAAATAATGTTAGTCATACAACTGTTCTAAGATGTTTTCATAAAGAAAAACTTCATCCCTACAAATTAACTTTTGTGCAGGAGTTAACAGAAGACGATCCAGATCGTAGAAGATTTCTGCGAAAGATTGATGAATAAGCTGAACAGAAATGAGATAGCTCTTGGTACCATTCTTTTTTCTGACGAATCAACATTCACATTGAATGGAGAGGTAAACCGACAGAATTGTAGATATTGGTCAGCAGAGAATCCTAATTGGATGCGTGAGACACATACTCAGTACCCTCAAAAGGTGAACGTTTGGGCCGGTATCATAGGCGACCATATTATTGGTCCTATATTTATAGATGGAAATTTGACAGCTGAAAAATATTGAAATATGCTTAGAAATGAAGTTATTCCTGCGTTGGCAAACTTATATCCCAACGCAATAGATCCTAGCTTACCGAATGAAAATGTTTGGTTCCAGAAAGACGGGGCAACACCTCATTATGCTTTAATGGTAAGAACTTATTTAGATGAAATCTTTCCCAATAAATGGATTGGACGAAGAGGTACTATTGAGTGGCCAGCTAGATCGCCAGACCTTACGCTGTTAGATTTTTTTCTGTGGGGTTATCTCAAGAACAAAGTATATGCAACACAACCAACTAGCATTGTAGACCTCAAAGACAGGATAACTACAGAAATACGGAATATTTCACCTCAAACTTTAAACAAAGTTAAGGAGGAGTTCTACAGGAGACTGTGCTATTGCCAACAACTAGGTGGAGGACATTTTGAGCATTTATTTTAATGTATTAAAATCAAATACATCAGGTATTTTATGTATGTGTTTAATAACTGTCAAAATAAAAATTTCACCCTGTATAATTCATACATTATTCAGTTTGTTGGAATCGGTTCATTAAGAGGATTTCAAAAATATGCAAATATACAGGGTGTTTCATTAAAAAAAACAACACCGACTGTGGCATACTTGCGTGAATCACCCTGTACATTTAAATTTATGTTTACATAACGCACAACTCAATTCAAAAGTTGACATGTCTCGGCATTTTTTATAATTTTCTAAAATAATGACAAAGAATTTTATTCCATAAGTGGTTTCCACACTGTATTTAGTTTTAGTTATATTTTTAGTATAGTTAAATGTTGTTGATTTAGTGATTTTATAGTATTTTTTGTTTGTTTTTAAGTTGAGTGTTTTTACATTTTTTTTTTTTTACAAAAGTTTGTTTTCGTTTAGATTTTTAATTTATTAGTTAAATATTGTTAAGTTGATTTTTTTGTAGAATATTTTTTTAGTTTGGTTCTTTAAGTTTAGTGTTTTTACCTCAGTACAAAAAAAAACACGTCACGTATTTTAAGATTGATTTAAAAACGAAAGAAAAAGAAATATTTGTCGGATTTTAAGGTTATAATTATTACAAAGTCGCTTATCTCTTTTCACCACTGTATTTGTCATAGTTTTTTTTATTTATGTGATATATTTAACTCATTTTATCTAAAAAATGTGGCTACGACGATATATAGTTGTATAGATCGCTCACAGCAGGCCGTTTTGCGAGCGGCCATATTTCCTCGCAAGTGCTCATTAATCAAAATCATTTTAGCAAAAATGTGTTTTAAAACCAATTTTCAGACTTTGAATATAGTAAAAAAAAACCTATATCATTGACTCTATCAAATTACCAGGCCAACAAGGTTGCCATATCATAACCACGTTAATAACAGTTATCAACGTAAGTAATAAAGTAAAATGGAGAGTATTGCGTTTTTATGTGTTAGTGTAAATGCGATGTACTGCAGTATACTGTAAAAATGGGTATTTTCAAAATAATTATTTAGATATGTCGATGCCTAATAGAATGTTTTGCAATTTAAGGTAACGCAAGATGCAGAGAATTTTATTACGGATAGACCATTACATGAATTTGTCAGCATACAGATAAATGACAAAAAATATTTAGTAAACGGGTGAAAAATTATGGAAAATTCTAACAGTTCTGGAAATTATTCAGAAAATTATGATGAAAGTCCTGAGACTGTCGATGACGATAGAGACAAAGATTTTGTCATAGAAGAATGTGTAGAGGACGAAGAAAGTAATGACAGTTACAGCAAAATCAGCAACGAAATTAAAAATTTCACTATTTTAGAAAACTGTTTCTATAATCGTCAAATGAAAATTGACTTACGAAATTATCAGTATCTAATTTAAATTGAAAGCAGTTGCGTAGCCAGGGGGGTCGTTTGCCCTCCCCCGCCCCTCTTCCTAGTCGCCCCTTGCAACTTGGCGTTTAGTGGCTGTTGATATTTTCGTTAATTCATAAAAATAGCTATTAGTATCTGTGGCGCCCGTCAAAGAGATGTAGTTTCATGCCTGTGTCGTTGAGAATGTTCATACCAGAGTGCGCACAAGACCGAACCTCAAGTCAGCCATTGTTACTTAAAAAATACTGTGATGTACGTACAAGTTTTCAAGTTTTTAGGT